GCGGGGGCGCCGCCCCGCCGCGCCGCTTCCGTCTCGCCCCGCCGCCACGGGCCTCGGGTCCGGGAGGAATCACCTCGACCGGTCCGGGAGGAGACACATACACCGGAGAAACACCGAGCGGCCGTCGCGCGCATGGGGCATCCCACAGCGCCACCAACTGCTGGACCTTCCCTGCCCGCCCAGACGCCGAAGCAGGCTGGCGGGACCCGGGTGGCGCGTACAGCCGTCGAGCCCGAAGCCGACGCCAGGCCAGCCGACCCCGCGGCCATCGCGGGAGTTCGCGGGCAAGCGAGGTCATCTGCCTCTTCGAACTCTTCCTCCTCGTCCGCGTCCGCCCAGGGCTCTCGCGGAGCACGAGTTTCGCAGGACAGCGCGACGCGGGAGGCGCGGGCGCGGGCGCCAGAATGGCGCAGCCGGGCGCCTCGCTGCTGCTGCTGCCGCTGCTGCCGCCCGCACTGCTCGGGGGGTCCGCGCGGCGGCGGCGCCGGCCATGGCGCCGGCCACCATCGAGGCGGCCCCCACCGCTGCCACATGCCGCGCCCACACTGGAGGCGCCGCCACTCCCGCAGCCGTGGGGCACCGGTTCCTGGGGTCTGACGTCCACCGCAGCAGGATGCCGTCGGGGACAACGGAAGTCCGGTAGCCCCGCAGCCCCACGATCCGCCGGGCTGCTGCCACGAGCTGGGCGCGGTCTATGCCGTTGCCGCCCCCGCCGTCCACGCAGCTGGCCCCCTCGGCCGGAGCTGCCTCCGCAAGAGCCGACGCTGTCGGAGGAGGCGCCGCTGCCGCCAGCGGAGGTGCCGCTGCGGCCGCTGGCGCAGTGGCCGCCCCCGCCGCCCCTGACCCGTCCTCCTCCAGCGCCGACTCGCTGGAGTAGTAGCTGGACGCCTCCTCGTCCTCCTCGTCCCCTGACGCCTCCCCCTTCACCGCCAGCGTGGGCGGTGAGAGCGCCCGCTCGCTCTCCCGCCGTTGCGGCGGTGGCGGCGCGGGAGGGGGCTCCGTCGCCAAGTTGCGGCGGCTCCGCCTGCAGCGCGCCGGGCTGCGGCTGCGGTCCGAGCGCCAGCCGACTCGGCGCTTGCGATCCTCCCGCGGCCGCGGGGAGCGCGCCCGGCCACGCTGGGGGGTCCGCGAAGCCGGCCGCTCCGCCTGGCCAAGCCGCTGCCGTTGCTGCCGGCACATTCGCCTTAAACAATTTAAGAGTTTCACGGACTGAAGGCGACTCTCTTTCGAAATGTGGCTCTCGCCGCAGCGCCGCGCACATTCGTAAGCTTCACGGACGCTCATAGTTGACAATCAAACAACGGTGTTTCGGAACGATTCAGGAGTGTCAGGCGCGACAGCTACGTCGATTCGCAGTGTTGAAATTCCAGGAATGGTGTTCTAGCACGATTCAGGATCGCTGAGACGCAACAGTCAAGTTGACTCGTGGCGTTGAAATCCCGAGAATGGTGTCTGGCACGCTCCAAGATGCTCAAATGTTTGTCTCCAAACGAGGCACTTTCCAAAGTGGAATGAATCCCTGGAGAGGTCTATGAAGAGGGCACTGGGAGGAGGGGTTATTTCAACAACGTTGATGTTTCTTGGGTTTACACGGGTCCTCATCCTCCTCCTCCTCCTCCTCCTGCTCTTCCCCCTCCTCCTCCTCCTCCTCCCCTCCTCCTCCTCCTCCTCCTCCTCTTCTTCCTCCTCTTCCTCCTCCTCCTCCTCCTCCTCCTCCTCCTCCGCCTCCTCCGCCTCCTCCTCCTCCTCCTCCTCCTCCTCCTCCTTCTCCTCCTCATCCTCATCCTCTTCCTCCCTCCTCTCTTTCTTTTCCTCATGAATAATTGCCCCCTTGTCGCACCCCGAGGGCGGTCGAAAGGGCCGTCCAGGCGTTTCGCCTGAGACCTCCTCACCACCTAGGGCTCGAGCATGAAATTTGCAACCGGTTTACGAATGGAGGGCGGGCCGTCTTCTAAATATAGCGTTCGCCTTGGCGTCGCGCACATTCGTTTGGAAAGTTTGGAATCGTTTCACGGATGGGGGGCGGGTGGTTTTCAAACTGTGGCTCTCGCCTTAGCGCCGCGCACATGTGCTTTCAGGGTTTGCAAGAACTTCACGGATGAAGGGCGGCTCCTCTTCAAACTGTTGCTCGTGCCTTAGCGCCGCGCTCGTTCGCCTTAAAGGTTTTCAACAGCGCAGAGGATTCGCATGGTTAACGTCCCAGAAATGTTGTTTCGGCATGATGTCGGACTGTCAGGGCGCAGCAGTTACGTTGATTCGCGGTGCTGAAGTCCCAGGAATGGCATTATGGCACGAATCTGGATCGTCTGAACGCAACAGTACTGGTGATTCGCGTCGTTGAAGTCCCAGGAAGTGCGTTCTGGCATGATTCAGGATATCCTAGCGGTTGTCCTCCAACGGGGCACTTCCCTCAGTGATACGTTATCCTTGTCGGGGTCTATGAAGAGGGAAGAAGGGATGGTAGATGCCAATATCGTTTATGAGTCTTGGGTTTGCACTAACACCCTGCAAGCACTCTGCCTGGGACCGCGAAAGCCTCTGAGACAGCCCCTGGGAATGCCATATCCCCAGGACCAGAATACAAACTGCATGCCGCAGCCTGGAGCCCCCTCCTCCTCCTCCTCCTCCTCATCCTCCTCCTCCTCCTCCTCCTCCTGCTCTTCGTCCTCCTCCTTTTCATCCTCCTCCTCTTCCTCGTCCTCCTCCTCATCATCATCCTGCTCTTTTTCCTCCTCCTCTTCCCTCCCACTCCTCCCCCCTCCCCCTCCCCCTCCTCCTGCTCCTCCTCCTCCTCCTCCTCCTCGTCCTCCTCCTCCTCGTCCTCCTCCCCCTCGTCCTCCTCCTCCTCCTCCTCCTCCTCCTCCCTCCTCCTCCTCCTCCTCCTCCTCATCCGTCTTTTTTTTTTTCCTTCTGTCGCACCCCGAGACGTGTCGGAAGGGCGGCCCAGGTTCCGCTTGAGACATCCTTACCTTCTATGACTCTTGAATTGGGAATCGACAACAGTGTTACGGACTGAGGGCGGGCGGTCTTCAAAATGTGGCTCTCGCCTCAGCGTCGCGCACATTCGTCGTTAAAGATTGCAGCAGCTTCACGGATGGAGGGCGGCTCCTCTTCAAACTGTGGCTCTTGCCTTAGCGCCGCGCACATTCGGTGTAACATCTTGCACCAGCTTCACTGATGGAGGGCGGGCCGTTTTCAAAATGTGGCTCTCGCTTTAGCGCCGCGCGCAGTCGTCCTAGAAGCTTGCAAGAGCTTCACGGATGGAGACCGCACATTCGTCTTAGAAGTCCTCATAAAGGCCGAGGAGTAGCATGTTGAACGCGATGCTAAATTCCACTAACAATGTTATGTCACGAATTCGGATCGCCAGGACGCAAAAGTATTGCTGATTCGCGGCCGTGAAGCCCCAGGAATGGTGTTCTGGCACGGCTCAAGATTTTCAGACAGTTGTCTTCCAACGGGGCAGTTCCTTCAGTGAAAATGAAATCATGTAGGGACCGATGAATAAGGAACTTAGGGTGAGGGTTTCTTGCAACATCGTCGACAAGCCTTGGGATTACACTGGTCCTTCCTCCCTCGCTCCCACCCTACCTCCCTCCATCCCTCCCTCCCTCCCTCACTCCCTCCTCCCTCCTTCCCTCCCTTTCTCCCTCCCTCCCTCCCTCCCCCACCTCCTTCCCCCTCCCCCTCCCCCCCCTCCTCCTCCTCCTCCTCCCTCCTCCTCCTCCCTCCTCCTCCTCCTCTCCTCCTCCTCCTCCTCCTCCTCCTCCTCCTCCTCCCCTCCTCCTCCTCCTCCTCCTCCTCCTCCTCCTCCTCTCCTCCCCCTCCTCCTCCTCCCTCCTCTCTCCTCCTCCTCCTCCTCCTCCTCCTCCTCCTCCTCCTCCTCCTCCTCCTCCTCCTCCCCCTCCTCCTCCTCGTCCGCCTCCTCCTCCTCCTCCTGTTCCTCCTCCATTCCTTTTGCCGTATTAATAACTTCCCCCTGTCGCACCCCGAGGTTCGCCTGAGACTTCCTCACCACGTATGACTCTGAAGCTTAAAAATTGGCAGCAGCTCCTCTGATGGAGGACGGGTGGTTTTCAACATGTAAATGTGGCTCTCGCCTTAGCGCCGCGCACATTCGTTCTAAACAATTTGCAAAAGCTTCACGGATTGAGGATCACCCGTTTCCAAAATGTGAGCCTCGCCTTAGCGTCGCGCACATTCGTTTAATGCAAGAGCTTCACGGATTGAGGATAACCCGTTTTCGAAGTGTGGCTCTCGTGTTAGCGCTTCGCACATTCGTTCATAACATCTGCAAGGGTTTCACGGATTGAGGGCGGTTCCTTTTCAAAATGTGGTTCTCGCCTTAGCGCCACGCACATTCGTTCATAATATTTGCACGAGTTCCACGGATTCCCATGATCAACGTACCAGAAACAGTGTTTGGGAAGGATTCATGATTTTACGGGTGCAACAATTGCGTTAATTCGCGGTGTTGGAATCCCAAGAATGGCATTCTGGCACGATCCAGGGTTGTCAAGACGCAACAGTCAGGTTGATCCGTGGCCTTGGAATCCCGAGGACAATGTTTTGGCATGCTTCTGGGTCTTCAAACGGTTGTCTTCCAACGGGGCAGATCCCTCAATCGAAATGAACCGTTGTAGGGGCCTATGAAGAGGGAGCTTGGAGGGAGGGTGTATTCCAACATCGTTGATGGCTCTTCGGTTTACACTGGTCCTCCTCATCTTCCTCCTCCTCCTCCTCCTCCTCCCCCTCCTTCTCCTCCCATCCATCTTCCTCCTCTTCCTCCTCCTCGTTCCCCCCCGTTCCTCCACTCAAGCCCTCGCGTTCTAGGACTTTGGGGCGCGATCCCGTCCCAGATGAAAAAAAGTACGGCGGAACGCTTCTGGCCGCTTTCGGCCTCCAAGGGCTTTCGCTGGGCTGGGGCCGTTATAGAACGACTTGGGATGAGGAGCCAGCCCATGGGAAAGGGTCGGGACGTCGCATGTCTGGATTCCGCGCGGGGCATCTGCGCAAAAATGCGCCGTATCCAAGCGGGCGCGGACCAGGGGCCCGGCCCGCGAGACCGTGGATACGGATGTAGCTTCCGCCCACTAGAGGAGAAAAAACTGCATAAACATAAACTGTCCGAAGTCCGCGTGGATCCCCTCCCTGGCGCGCGGAGCGCGCCTGGGGCGGCGACGGAGGCGCCGCCAAGGGGGCCCAGCGCCGATCCGAGAAATCCGCGCGGAGCTCTGAAAAATTATATGTTTGCGCGGTTCGTTTGCGACCCACGTAGGGCGAGAACGATGTCATAACAAAATTGGCTCAGGATACGTTCCAGGCTTTCCAGAGTGTCTGGCGGGCAGCTGGTGCGGAACATTAGTAGATATGGCAAATTCTTGAAACCTGGACATCTCGGAACGTATCATTATCATGATCTCTTGCTCCTCCGGCCACGGGCCTCCTCCGTCAGCTGGCCAGGGAGAGGGATGCCGGCCAGCACGGTCGAGCTGCACTGCCATGCGGACCGCTACACACGGATCGGAACCCATCGCCTGGATGCCCGAGGAGCGCCTGAGGGGCAACCGGGGCAGGCCCTGAGGAGCAGCGAGGCCCTTCCGATACCGAGCTGCTCCTGATCTCAACGTCTTGACTGCAAGGCTGGTTCACGTGGCGACGACGTCGGCGGTGACTTCGGGCACCGCGTAGATCGCTCAGCCTTGAGCGATCGCGGCCTTCCGATAACGCACATCTGCGATCTTCAACCATGATTGTGACCATCTGGGGCAACCCGTAACCATCGAAGGTGCCCAGACAGTCGAGTCTGGTGACCACACCGTCCAGTGGGCTTCGGGTGGCGCGGACCGCTTTGGGGCCGGGGTCGGTCTCCGATTTGACCGATGGGACGCATCAGGACATACTAGGAATAGATGCCTCTGTTGGAAACGAGCGTCCGACCCGAACATTAAATGCAAAATATTGTAACAATCGCTTCCCGAGCGGCATGGCCAGAAAGCAACCGCCACGGAGCTTGTACTTACGAGTTCCTAACGTGCACGTCACACTTGGAGGACCCACACATGATCCGCGGACCCCCGCTTGCCGGGGTCCAAAAGCGTCTGAGACACGTGGCTGTCCCCATCCCCCCTTCCCCCTCCCCCAGGGTCCGAAATCACGTTCGGGAGGAACGAGGGGGAGGGGGGTCCCCAGACTCCAGCGGGGGAGGGCTCCCCAACGCACCCTCCGTGGCAAATCCACCCTCCGTAAACTCCAAGATGCTGTCTGCGATGGCTCCAGAAGAGCTCAAATACGCCAGAGAGGCCTCAAGAACACCCAGGATAGTGTCAAGAAGGCCGACGACGCCCAAAGAGGATCGAAAGAGGACCTCCCCATAGGGCCTCAAGAGGTAAACAACATTGCGGTCCCATGAGTTGTTGCATAGTTGTCGCGTTCTCGGCTCTCTAGTGCCTGCACGCTCAAGACGGCCCAAGAAGCCCCCGAGACTGGCCCAGACCAGCCTATGAGACCATCAAAACGGCCTTGTGACAGCCAAGCAGGGCCCCAAGATGGCCCAAGAGGGCCCTAAGATACAGTGGAGGACAGTCCACAAGAAACCTTCCACAAGAAACCCAACCCTGAGACCCCAGGACTTCCACTGATTCTTGGTGTGGGAACGTCACGCATTTCTTAGAAAAACCATCGAAGCCCAAGAAACCCGGAGCACCCTGGAGGCAAGCAGGGCGCTTCTTGGCATGGGGCTCCACTGCAGCAAAAAAACTGACTGTGGCCCCAAGAGAGACCGAAGAGAGGCCCAAGGAGGGGAGCCCGCAGAGGCCCTGGGAGCTCTCCCCCGGAAGATGGCCCCCAAGACCATCAACTGGCTTTAGGTCGGGCGCGTCCTCCTACAGACGGATGTTGAACGAAAGATTAGAGGAGTCAAAAAATATGCCATAAATGCCCACTAATTCCCAAAAATTGTCCCCAGACTATTTTGGCCTAATTTGGAATATCCCTCCTGTAGAGGGACGTGCCCGACTTAAAACTGGCTCCAAGGAGCCCCCAAGAAGCCCCCAACAGGGCCACCAAAAAAACCCTCGACAGCCCTTCGACAGACCTTCGGGAGGCGGCCACCTGGGCCGCCAGCAGGCCCCGAAGATGCCCCCCATAAGCCCCAGGAGCTGACAAAAATACTCGAATTAGACCCCCCAGAAGCTCCCCACACCGTCGTCGCTTTCTATTTCATCACTGTCCCCCTTCTCCCTCATTTTTCGAATCCAAAATGAAAAGATTCTATCGACCATACGCGACGTCACTCTGGCAGCATCTCGGCTCATGCGCGACGCGCATCATGTTTCAGTTCTCCCTCCCAAAAAGCGCAGGGTAAATGAACCCCATGCGCGGAATAGCGACTGTGCGGCGGCCACTCCTCACACGCACCCGCCCACATGAAGGCATCCCATGCGCGCGACGGCGTCCAGGATACAACCAGCAAGCGCCCAGAAAACTCTGGCGAGGCTTCAAGACGGCCACCAAGACACCCACAAGGCTTACCTTCGTCTGGGGTTCGGCGGGATTGAACAAGCCTCTTTGATAGAAGTATGGTTCGGTGGTGCCGCCGATGCGAAGATGCCCCGAGGGGCCTCCCAGGTCCCGAAGAGGCGTCCGGCGGCGACGCTCGGGTTGGGTCGGCAACCATCCTCCCCTCCTCCCTCCCGCGCGGGGGGGGGAATCCCCTGGCTGAGGCTCTGGCAGAGCCCTGAGCAGGCAGTACACCCGTCGTGCTTCCACAACGACCACTGGATAAGGAGCACAGGGGCCTTTTTGGGCCACGGCTGGCCTCAGCCAAGAGCAGGCTCTCTGGCCTGGAGCTGGGGAGCGGCCCGAAAGCCAGAGCCGCCCCTGCTACCGACGTGGTTCCACTGTCAAACGTCTTGACTGCACTGCCATAGCGGTTTTCGAGTGCTTTCAGCGGCACGGCAAGGCCGAAGCACGCCTGCCGCATCAAGAGATTCGCCCAGTGAGGTTTTCACGAGTGTTCGAGTTCGTCGGGCCTGGGACCCCTGAAACCACCACTGTGCCTCCGCGGACGCACAATATGCGGGCAAGATGTGTCAGAGTGAAGGGGCCGAACGGTCATTCATTATCCGTGCGTGCGTGGCTGAATAAAGAATTCGTGGTTAAAAGTCTGTTTGTTGCGTTGTTGTTGGACTCTCACTTCTGAAGAATAACTATTGTTGATCCCCCCATCACCGGTGCATACTGTTTTTCAAACAAAGTGTGCCCCTCGACGCTCGCACCCTTTTTTTGGCAGGGAAAGTCTTGGTGCTCAAGTTGGGCCCCTGGCCCCCCAGATTACAACAGCAACGGCTCCCGCTTGAGACTTCCTCCAAATTTACTCAGGACCCCCGCTCCTGAGGCTTCCTCACAATTTACTCAGAATCGGTGATCCCGCCTGCGGTTTCCTCGCAATTTATTCCGGACCCCCGCTCCCATCTGAGACTGTCTCACAATTTACCCAGGAACGGCGCTCCCGCTTGAGACTTCCTCGCAATTGAATCACGACTTCCTCGCAATTTAATCAAGACCCCCGCTCCCGCCAGAGAACCCGTCACAGTTTATTCAGGGATTGCGCTCTCGCCTGTGACGCCCATGCAGTGTATTCAGAGATCGCGCTTTCGACGCTCAGGAAACACGCTGCGCCAAGGACGCCGCTACAGTTGACTTAATAATCGCGCTCTCGAGATAATCAGGCATCCCGCTTGAATGTCGCACCCGCCCGACCCGCCCGTCAGGGGATCGCCCGCCCGTCGTGGGCTGCCGCCCGAGACTTCCTTCAGGAACGGCGCTTTCGCCCAGGACTTCCTCGAACGCTCACGCTCTTACCTTCCTGCTCCTCCTCCCTCTCCCTCCTCCCTCCTCCCTCCTCTCCTCCCTTCTCTCTCCCTCCTCCCTTCCCTCATCCTTATGCCTCTCTGCCCTATCCCCTCTCCCTCCTCTCCCTCCTCCTTTCTCCCTCCCCTCGCCTGCCTCCTCCCTCCCTCTTTCGTTCTCTCTCTCTCTCTCTCTTTCTCTCTCTCTCTCTCTCTCTCTCTCCCTCTCTCCCCTCTCTCACTCACTCACTCACTCACTCTCTCTCTCTCTCTCCCTCTCTCTCTCTCTCTCTTTCTCTCTCTCTCTCTCTCTCTCTCTCTCTCTCTCTCTCTCTCTCTCTCTCTCTCTCTATATATATATACCTCGTATCTGTCGTTCTCTCTCTCTCTCTCTCTTTCTCTGCCTCTAAGCAATCGCCCCCCTCTTCGCTCCTTCTCTCCTGGCGTGTTCCCTTTTCCTTCGTCCCTCCCGCTCCCTTCTTCCCACTCTCCCTCGTTCTCCCCCTCCTCTTTTTGCAGGGCCCACACAAATTCTAATGGCGGGTACATGTACGCCCACAAACGATTGTCTGCCCGTTCAGGTTTGCCCGCCTGTCTAAGCCCGCCGCCCCCCGCAAAGAAAAAAAAAAAACAAAGGGGGTGTGATCGAAGACAAAAAGAGCGGGTATCGCGGGTGTGGGGAACTCGTTTTGAATGACACGCGGGCAAGTAAGAGCGATCAGTCTTAGAATGATTGTTGCTGTTGTTGTTGTGGGTGTTGTTGTTGAACATTATTTATTCTAAAGAATAATTATTGTTGGGCCCCCTGGTGCGCGCCCCCCCTGCGCCGCCTAGGCCGCAGCTACATTTTCATCATTTTCGTGAGGAAGCCTCAGAAAAAAAGGGTGTGTACAGGATCCGGTTGTTTTGTTGTAATCCGCTTTCCCTTGCAAAAAACAATAGAAAATGACATTTCTTGTTCTAATATAATCAAATTTCAAGAATCCCTTGCAAAAAATAAGGTAAAGTGGACATTCGCGCGCGCAAGACGAAATCCTTCCAAAACCTTAGTGTTCGCAGCGATTTTAACATAAAAACATCAAAAAACCAATGGTTTTTCAACAAAAAATTGTCAAAATCTCATCCCGCGCGCTCTTGCGGATTCGTAGGAAACCCAACACTTTTTAAACATTTCTGTCAAACGGGCTTTTGCGAGCAACTTTTTCGAACTTCTGCGACAACGGTTGCGCACCTGCCAGGGCCATCATCCCTGTCAAATAATACCATGCGGGACACATTCGTTTTTTCTTCGCGCGCGCACGCCGTCGTCGTCGGCCGCGGGGCCCTGAATAGTAGCCACGGTCGTCCGCATGCCACGAAGTGAAGTGTCCGAACGTCATAGGGCGGGAAGCTGGGTGTGGGTGGTGGCGAAGAGTCGTTTGGAAATTTGGTAGAGCTTGAACCGGCCCCCCCACAAAGTGGGGGTATTGCCCGCCTCCTATGAAAACCCTGGCACTGGTGAGAACGGAGTGTCCCCACGTGCTAGTAATTGTTGCTGTTGTTGTTGATGTTGTTGTGTTGTTGTTGTTTGTTGTCGTCGTCCCACCCGCGACCCACCCGCGGCCCACCCCGCGACCCACCCGCGACCCACCACGCGACCCACCCCGCGACCCACCCGCGACCCACCCTGCGACCCACCCTCAAGGGAGGAAAAAACACCTGGACCCGACAATTGACGTTAATTAGACGGCCCTGGGCGTTGACAAAACAGCCGTGTCCTGTTCGATTCATTCCTTGTGGGCGTTTACTAAACGGCTTCGCTTGTCGGGGTGATTATTATGGGGTGGATTTTCGGCCCTCTTCACCGGCGACCCACCCGCGACCCAACAGCGACCCACCCGCAACCCCTTTGCGACCCACCCGCGACCTACCCACATTGGTTTAACGAAAAAATCGGCGCCTGCGGCGGGCTCGTTGTTTGATTTGTGAAGCTCTGGCGCCTGCGGCGGGTTTCGCCAGAGTCTCGCGAAGTGCCGACGTCCCCCCCGCCCCCTCACTCGCATCCGCATCTGCGGGGTGCTACGCATCCATATTCACTGCGTCTTGGACGCCCTGGGAAGGGGCACCACAAAGTGAGGCGCAGTGGATATGGATACAAATCTAGCCCCACAAGGGGCCAGATCTGTATACATATCCACTGCGCCTCAGGCTTCTGGGGAAGGGAGCCCGAGACTCCAAGACGCAGTGGGTATGGATACACATCTTACCCGCACCTTGGGCCCGGACCTTCGGGGACGCAGCATCCCGGGCCGTGCACTGGAGCCGTTCCTCCTCCACCCAAGACCTCTGCCTCCGATCGAGCCCGCGAGGCCCCAGAAGGTACTGGTCGGCTTCCCTCTCCCGACTGGTCACCGTCCCCGCGGGTCCCGCAGATGTAGCCAACGATCTCGGCGCCTTCGTATGCCACGAGGAAGAGCTCCGGCACCTCGGTCATCCTGAACGTCAGCGACTCCAGCGTCGCCGCCTCGTCCGCTGGATAGGACGCCACTTCGATCGATAGAACTGTCGACACCAATTGCCCCACGTCACCTTTCACGCCCTTCAAGAGCGCCTGCCCGAAAAGCAGATCCTCCTCTGCGAGGACCTAGGGAGGACACCAACTCCACACCTGCGCCGATCCTGGCCAGGCCCATCCTTGAACCAGAATCGATGTGTACGCCCTCCTGGCTTGAGCAGGAGGGCGCATGCACGGATTCTGGAACCAGGCTCGACACGGCCAGGCAAGGTGCAGGCGTCGTTGGGGCCGTTCGGTGACCATCTTCATGTCCCACCACGGATCGCGCCCGTGCACGAACGCCGATAAACCAACACAGCCAAAGCCCGCACGGCGGTAGAATTCCCGCAACGGCGCCTTGCAGCAGAGAACGGCCAGCTCCAGCTCCTCCGAAAGGAGGCCAACCTTCAGTGCATATTTCCCCGCGGTGCGCGCCGCCAAAACGGCGTGGTGGTCTGTTACATTCGAAACGGGTTTCCCCGAGAATTGGCCGATGGGGGTTGGGATACGTTGACGATGCTGATGATGCTGATGATGATGATGATTGATGACGATGACGATGATGGTGGTGATGACGAAGATATTGATTGATGGCGAAACAAAGACAAAGACGACGCTGATTAGGATGAGTATACTGATGATTAGAATGATGATGACGATGATGACGATGATAATGACGCTCATGATGGTGAAAATGTTACTAACAATCACGTTGATGGCGGTGATGGTGGTGATGAGGTTGACGATGGTGGTGGTGGCCGACGATGATACTAATGCTGATGTAGATGCCGACGATGATGTTTCGGACGCTGCTGATGATGCGGGTGACAATAGTAATGATGGTGATGGAAGATGGTGGTGAAGATGATGACGTTGATGATGATGCTGATGCGAATTCTGACGCTGATGCTGATGATGCTGATGCTGCTTATGATTATGGCAACGATGATGGTGGTGATGGTGATCGTGGTGGATGCTGATGATGGTAATGTGATGTTGATGACGATGATGCTGATGCTGATGCGAATGCCGACGCTGATGCTGCATATACGGCTGATGATAACAGATGACGATGGCGCTGGTGGGTGACAGTGATTGGGCCAACGCCGACGCTGATAATGCTGATGCTGCTGACGGCGAAGCTGCTCATGATGGTGATGATGATGATGATGATGATGGTGGATGATGATGGTGATGGTGATGGTGATAATTGTGCTGCTGATGGTGATGATGATGATGCCAATGCCGACGCTGATGTTGCTGACGCGGACGGTGATGATAGTGATGATAATGACGATGGTGGTGGCGATGACGGTGACGGTGACGATGATGCGGATGACAAAAATGATGCTCATGATGATGGTGGTGGTAGTTGTGAACGATGGTGTTTTCCCAGCCTTTGGCACAAGCGGCACCGCCGGAGCCAAACGACAGCGAGTGGTGCTGGTCACCTGTCTTGCACGCAGTGTATCACACCCATCAAACGCTGTCACGAGCGAGCCGGCTGGGCGGGCACCACAGGCAGGCAAGCCGCCACCCATGTCATCACTTTCAGGCCCCCCGGGACAGCAAACAAGGAACGAAAAGGCATACACAAACGCAATAGTAAAAATCAGACCATCAAAAACTCAGAGGTAAAATCACGTCCCACCTTGGGTAATGCTCACTATGGCCCTCGACAACATGTGCTTTACCTTCTTAGCGGTACCCGTTTATCTTGCGTTACGCCGAGATGAGCGCGCAGTATATGTTGCCAAAGACATGAGCAGACATGGATTCACATGAGAATCCATGAACATAGTACTCGTGTCAATCCAAAGAACCGTATCACATAATATTCTTGGGAGAAGGGTTTTTTCATCATCTTGTCCTCGTGTCCATGCAATCTGGCGCAAACTGCCCAAGTGGATACTCAAGCGTGTCTTTTGACTTGCCCAGTGTTGGCACCGTCTAGTGCTCCTCGGGGCTCCCAGAATCAGTCAGCTTCTGTAGAGAGCGCGTCTTGTGGATAGCACGTTCATTGAAAACCAAAATGGTGACTCATGTGAAACAATCGCTACAGATACCGACATTCCCCAAAGAAATCCCACGACCGGTCCCGGAGCGCGCGTTCCCTGCCCAGCCTGGAGAAGTGGGCTCGCTGGCGCGGGCCCTGGCTCTGACAACGAATTAAACGCAACTTCTCCTGCCGCCCTGTCCGACGACGTCGATCCTCCAGCGTCGAAGCCCCTCCCCACTACTTCGCGGCGGCCACGTACGCCTCGCGGTACGTCGTCCAGCAGCGACCTTTTGAAAAACGTTCGGGCTATCTGGTGCGATCCACATCCATGCTTTCCGGCGGAAAGAATCCCCGCGTTTCCAGCGCCTTCGTCGCTCATGTCCTCACCCTGGCCAACGGACTCAGACTCTCCAGTTAGCTCTTCCACCTTTGGTGGTCCTGGGATGGCTGGCCACGCATCCTCTCGCTGGCATTCGGGCGGCCGCGGCGCTGGCATCTCGCGCCGTTCACTAACGAACGATTGTTGCTGTCCTTGCGGGTGAGCACACCTCTCCACACCACCGTCGCGATGAATGGTGAGACACTCGCACGCAAGGGCCCCCGCCACTGCACGCGGTCGGAGCCGATCGACAGCGACGCAAACTTCGGTGAGAAACCGCGTTGCTCGCCGTCAAATTCCCACGATCCGCGAGCCCGCGCTCCACTTCGCTGCGACTTCACCGTCGGTTGGCCTTTTGCGAAAGCATGCTACACCTCCGACCTGATACTCGCCCGCCAAGGGCGCTGCCTCCCAGAGCACGGCCCGCGCGGCCCTGCAATGTCAGGCGAGTGCCTTCCTGGCGGCAGCGCGGATGGCTGTCTAGCACGCGATATAATTAGACCCGCCTCGGGCTGCATTGACCAGCGGACCAGGGCAAGCCGAAAGCTTCTTCATCTTCTCACTGGCTCCCCGGCTCACGGGGAAAACGGCTGAGTGCACAATGAGGTGGAGAGAACCCGCCAACTCGGGACATGCCTTTCTTGGCTCTGTCTACCTCCACGGCCGCCGCCACACCTTCGTCGTCACCAGTGATGTTCTTGTCGCGAGCCACTTTCGTGAACGCGTTCTTCCACCAACCGCCGCGTCTGTCAGCGCGTCTCATCTGTTCCGGGGACTCGACGCTAGCGTCGCGGGGGTCGAGCCCGCCGCCCTCACCCCACTGCAAGAATACCGTTCACTCTGGTTTACCTGCCAGGGCACACCAGAGCTGATAGAGCGCAGCGAAGCATTTTCGAAATGATGGCATACCACCACCTCACCAGGCGAAGACCACGCACTGGCTCGTCGTTCCTCGGCAACTTCCGTGCAGGAGCACGTCTCGCTCACCGCTGTTCTTTACCTCTGAACAGCCGAATCCAATCTCACAGTTCAAGCATGACATATTACGCATCGCTACATGATGCGTCAGTGGTAATGGCTTGCGGCGCGCGCGAGAGTCACACCTATAGCGGTTGGCCGCTTCCATATGCTGGGATGACATGCGCGACAGCTTCACTGGTCGAAGCAACGCGCGGTTCGGGACATGACCGAACTGCCGATGAAGCCTCCGAATGGCGATCATCGCTCGGATAGGGCATCGTGAACCGGGCCTTTCTCCGGGCCTCTTCCAATTTCTGCTCACCTGGGAGCGGCAACTGCTCCAGGATGTCGCGCCTCTCATCCCCAGGGTGCCCCTGTGCAGCGACGGCCACGCCCTCGTCATCTTCAGCTGCGTCGAGAGTCGCCCCTGCCCTTTCCGCTGCTGCCTCAGCTGAAGAAGGCTGTAGCCACGAGGCGATCTGATCGGATCTGGCGCCCTAAGTCACGCTGGAAATCCAGGCGCCTGCAAGACTCGAGCTGACATCGGGATCTGACTCTAGAAAAGAATTCCGATAAAATGTAGCTTCGAGAATTGAGCCACATGCTTCGTGACCAGACACGATACTAACTGAACCATTGCCACTTGATGCCGGCCCAGAAAAACTATGGATGTTCTCTACGTCGCGGCTAGAGGCACGAACAATGGCGACAGCAGTATTGCACTCGATGTGCCCTTTCCGCGCGCGCGACCCAACATGGACGGGCGACCATATCTCCCGCGCCCGACGCCCCCCGCGAAAGCGAGGCCGACGATGCAGCGCATCACCTTGCCCGCTGACACGCAGCACGCGAGCGGCGCCACAACGAATCTCATCTTGCCAATCGTGACCTCCAAGTCGAGGCCGAAGTCGGTCTTGCCAAACTCCAGGCCGGGCACGTCCTCCTACTGGTGGATCATGGACGAACAACCCAGAATACTCATCAATGCTATATATGACTATTTGTCCTTCAAACAAAAATATGAACATTCCCCCTGTAGAATGGCGTGCCCGACCCAAGTCTAACTCGGTAAGCCCCGCACTGAAGTGCGCGCATTTCTCCGCATTCATGGTCGCCGCGCTGTGGTCGTCCAGATTGAGGGGGCCGCGCAAGTATGCAACGTCGCCCCGACGCATGCGAGGCGGCTGGGCAAATACACGAATCCTGACACACCCCTCTGCGTCACAAGATGAGTTAATACGCGCGCGGCCCTCCATGTGTTCACACTTCTGTTGGTCCTCATTGAGGCCTAGTGCACTCCTACGCCAATTGCTCATCGACGTCGGGAATTTGACCTTCGCGTGATAGACTCGAACTTGAGGCCGACACGAAACATCATGCGACTGTCCAGGGTCGTAAATTCAGCTGTCAAATTACGCTCAGCGAAAGTGGAGAGATCGACGTCAGCGATGAAGGCACGCTTCCTGCCGGCGTCGCCCGGCGTCTCTATCTGCTTGCCGGCGACCCTCAAAGGCTCGACGTCCTCGACTGGATCTGCAACCCTGGCGTCGCTCACCCGCGGGCCCCAGTCCTGGGAGTCTGCCCTGCCAGCTGCGCCAGCAAGCGGCGGCGGCGGCGGCATGGGCGCCACCTGCTTCGGAGCCTCCGGCGGCGGCGGCGGCGGCGGTGGCATAGGCTGTCGCGGCGTCAGCGCGGCAGTCCGGGCTCGCGCATCGGGGCCCGATTATGGGGGGGCAAACTCTATGCACCTACACTTTTTCAGACCCTGCGTTGAAATTCGCACGGGAACGCGGATCCTGGTGCATGCGGGATCCTAGTGTATACATGTTTCGTTGCTTCCCTGGGACATCGGGGAAAAACACACACACACACACAAACACACACACACACACACACACACACACACACACACACACACACACACCACACCACCCCGACGTCGTCCCCGACCCTCGAAAAGTCCTGGGATTGAAAGAGAGCACACCACTGGTAATGTACATGATCCAACTTCCGAAATTAAGCCGCGCCCGCCGGGCGTCGAGCTCGCCGGG